AGAAAGAAAGAAAGAAAGAAAGAAAGAAAGAAAGAAAGAAAGAAAGACAAGCAAAAAAGAAATTCATAGTTCTGAGGGCTCATATTAGGGTTTTGGCATTAGTAAACAGTATTTATGTATTTAAATTTAGTATTTATGACTAAAGAACAGTCCTCAGGAGCTCTTCCAGAAGACCTGGTTTGGATTCCCAACACTCATGTGTTGGTTCACAGTTGTCAGTGTCTCCAGTTCCAGTTGGTATGACACCTTCTTCTGGCACTGCATGCGTGTGGTTTAGACATACATCCACCCATACACCTAAAATAAAAATAAAGGAAAGGAATAGTCCTGTATCTGGGAACATTATTCTTGGATTTATGTGTGTATGTGGCGTGGATGGGCTTTGTGCCTGCCATAGCGCACATATTGAAGCCAGAGGACAGCTTGCCGGAAGTTGGTCTCTCTGTCTACCACGTTGGTTCCAGGGATGGAACTGAGATCTTTGGTCAGGTTTCGTGGCACCCTAAGATTCAATCTTTTACTTTATTTTATTTTTTAAAAATTTTTATGTGTATGGGTGTTTTGCCTACACATATGTCTGCACCACATGTGTGTCTGGCACCCATGGAGGCCAGAGAGCTTCTGGCATCAGATTCCCTTAACTGGAATTAGAGACAGTTGTGAGCTACCATGTTGGTGCTAAGGATCGAACCAGGGTGCCTCTGAAGGAGCAGCCAGTGCTCATCTTAACCACTGAGCCATTTCTCCAGCCCCCTGAAATTCAGTCTTAATCATTGGTATGACTTTATCCATTCCTAGTGCTATTGTGACTGCAGCTCATTATATGTGTTACTAAAGCTTACTTTTGGGTGGCAGCTGCCTTGTTTTCTATGTATCAGTCCCTTTCTTACCCGCCGTCATTAGGTAACCATCAACAGCTGTACTAAATGTTGACATCAGATGGAGAAAGTCACTGACATGCCTTCTACTGCTTTGTATAACTATGTTTTAAAATTGATCATTATGTGTGTATATATGATGGAAGTTGTATGTGGAAGTTTAGGGGACAACTTGGTGGAATTGATTCTCTCCTTCCACCTTTGTGTGTGTTCTGGGGAGCAAACACAGGTTGTTAGGTGCTTTACCCAAGGAGTTGTTTTTCTGGCTCCATATTTTTTGAGTTAGCTGTATCCGTGTCATCGTTCCCTTCCCCCATGAGACAAGGTCTCTCTGTGTAGCCCTGGCTGTCCTGCAATTTGCACTGCACTGTACTGTATACCAAGCTGGCCTCAAACTCAGAGATCTTCCTGTCTCTGCTTCCTGACTGTTGGGATTAAAGGATTAACAGACTGACTGGCTAGCTGTGCCTTTTAATTGTGTTAAAGAAACCACTTCTTGGCTGGGCAGTGGTGGCACATGCCTTTAATCCCAGCACTTGGGAGGCAGAGGCAGGTGGATTTCTGAGTTCGAGGCCAGCCTGGTCTACAGAGTGAGTTCCAGGACAGCCTGGGCTATAAAGAGAAACCCTGTCTCGAAAAACCAAAAAAAGAAAAAGAAAAAGAAAAGAAAAGAAACCACTTCTTGAATGTGGCTGTTTTCCTTTCAGTACTTCTAATACAGACAATGATTGAGCCATGGTGTCAGCAGCAGTGGTGAAGTCTCTTGCCAGTGCTTAAAATTCAAAATTAATAGCTCTGCTTTCCAAATTTCTTCCTATGGATTTTCCAGTTTCGGTTCTTCAAAACTGATTTTAGAAATAGCCTCCCCACCTCTATTAGGCAAGTGGTAACAGAGGCAGGCAAATCTCTGAGTTCAAGACCAGCCTGGTCTACAGAGCAAGTTCCAGGATAGCCGGGGATATACAGAGAAACACTGTCTTGAGAAAAAACAAAAGGCAAGAAAGAAAGGCAGGCAGGCAGGCAGGCCCTCTCCCTTTTTCATAGGATATCGTATCTATCCTGAGCTCCTTTTATTGCTAAGCTCCGTAGATGGCTTTTTTTTTTTTTGCCTTAAATATGCTCCCACATAACTAGTTTTTACAGTTGAATCTGTGTTTAAAAGAATACTTTTTTCATTTCTTCAAATTCTGCCCTTACAACATAGTCTGTAACTTACACTGAATTTAGCAGCATGTTTTGGCATATAATGCCTTTTCAGATCATACTCTTTGTAAATTTATACAAATCTCCTCCAAATTAAGCAAAGTATCTTACTGTTTGCCTCAGTAGGGGTGTGTGTGTGTGTGTGTGTGTGTGTGTGTGTGTGTGTGTGTGTTTGATTGTGTGTGGTCGCTCATCTTTATTCCATAAATCTCTTTTTCACTCTGTATGGAGGAAGAGGATAAGGGGAGTTTGGACTTGATGTGTAGCCCAGGCTAGTATTGAACTAGTGATTATTGTGCCTCAATGTCCTGAATCCTGAAATTACTTATGTGTCTGTGTCTAGCCTCTATTCTTTGTTTTGTTTTGGTTTTTCGAGACAGGGTTTCTCTGTGTAGCCTGGGCTGTCCTGGAACTCACTCTGTAGACCAGGCTGGCCTCGAACTCAGAAATCCGCCTGCCTCTGCCTCCCAAGTGCTGGGATTAAAGGCGTGCGCCACCACCGCCCGGCTTAGCCTCTATTCTCATTCATTCATTCATTCATTCATTCATTCATTCATTCACTTATTTATTTTAGTCCTGACTGGTTTCAAATTCACAGAGAGCAGTGAATACCCTCTGTATTTTAAGATGAGCAAATCATATGTTCAGAATTGTATTTAAAGAGGTACTTTTTTTTTTCATTTGTTTTATGTGTGTGTGCGCGCCTGACTTTAGCGTACATATGTGTGCTATGTGAGTGGAGGAGCCTCCAAAATCAGAATAGGGCATTGGATCCCTTGGTACTGGAGTAAGTTATAGATGATTATAAGCCACCTATAGGTGCTGGAGATTGAACCTGGGTCCTCTGCAATGACAGCTAGTGCTCTTAACTGCGGAGCCACCTCTCCAGCTCATAAACAGATACATTCTAAGAACATTGTAGAGAATGGATTGCAGAGAGAAGTAAGGTAACTAGGAAATGATTTTAGTATCCCAGATGAAGTACATTAGTGGCCTATCTAGGTGAAGGCAATAAATGAAACAAATTCCCAAGTACAACTAGCAGCATGTGGTAGAAAGTAGGAAGAGAAGAGCCAAGTGTGGCTTGAGGCCCTCTTGTAGCCAGAAGGAAGGTGGTAGTGCCTTTACAAGACACAGAGCAGTGGATACGCAGATGTTAGGGAGCTATTGTCAGGTGAGCATATTGGATCTGAGGTCCTTGGAATACCCGAGTGGAGTAGTTGATAGACAGTGGATAATGAGTTCAAAGAAAGGGGCACGATGATTGTGGGGTGGTGATTGTTTGTTGAAGGTGGAAGAGAAGTGAAACAAGAACTCAATGTGTAGGAAATGGATGCAGTTGGCTTGGAGAACCATGAATAGATGTGGGTATGTATATATGAGAGTACTTAAGAAGTAACAGACAGGAAGAAAGGAAAGACAGCAAAGAGCATTGAGGGGCCGGAGAGTTGGCTGCTGGATAAAGGGAACTGACACCAGCCTGAAGACCTGAGTGTGATTCCCAGGGTTCCACATGGTGGAAGGAGAGAGTAAGCTCCTAAGCTCCCACAGATTGTCTTTTGACCTCTTCACGAACATTGTGGCACATGTACACAATAAATAT